CCGCTATCAGCCTGAGCCAGGTACCAGCTTCCCAGGCCTCTGTGCTTTCTGCGCCTATGTGCACAATAATAACAAAAGTTACTCCTGCACTGGGTCAAGCATCAAAAGTGACAAGTGGTCCCAAAGTGACAGCAACACAGCAAGCAGTTCCTCCCAAAGCATCTCAGCCAGCCATTCAATTACCAGCAAACTTCCAGATTCCCCCTGCTCTGGTGAAAACCAGCCAGATCCACAGAGCAGCCGCATCTATCCGAGTGCAGGCAGTGGAAATTGTTGCTGACCAGATCTGACCAGACCAGTCTGATGATTCCAGAGGTCCGGTGACTGTATACACAAATGCGCATAAAGATTGCGTATCTGGTGAGTGCGCAATCTTTACTTTAGCGGTTCCAATCATTGGACGTATAAGGATCATCTTGGATCTTAAGAGCACCCCTCCATTGGACTCTTTTACTTATTTTGCACTCTTTTCACTTTGGTAGCCACTATTCAGTGGCCTTATTTCATTACCACTCAGTCACTGTCCAGTATATTATATATCCGATTTGCTGTTTATTAAGTATTTATAGCGCTGCACCTCCCCCCCTTTGTATAAAGTACGTCTCGGAAGGTTATATGGTGCCTTTTTTGGTGTACAGCTGCTGCGTTAGTATTCAAGCGCTCGCTTACTTACTCTGTTTTTTTTTTTTTGAATGTTTGACAATGGTCTACTTTAAAGCAGATGTTAAAGTGGAGCTCCACACAAAAGGGAAAGTTCCACTTTAAGTCTTTGTCCCCCGCTCCTCATTAAGGATTGGCACCTTTGGGGAGCGGGTACCCGAATTTGACATGTACCCGCTCCCACATCCGCTGCGATCGCCTAAGGCAATCGGAAGCGGAAGTTATCCTCCCCTCTCACTCCCCATAGTCTTCTGGGACACGTGAAAAATCCCAGAAGACTACAGGACCATTCACAAAGTGCAGCGCTTTTTGCGCATGCGCAGTGGGCACTCGGCTGTCAAGCCGCAAGCTGTCACAGTCAGGTGTCCACACTGAAGATGCCGACACCAGGGAGAGAAGACAGTCGGTGAAACCAGCCCTGGTGAGGACACCGCTGGACTGAGGACAGGTAAGTGACTAAAGTGACTAAAGTGACCGAGGGACAGGTAAGTGATTAGGTGATTTTAAAAGTCAGCAGCTACAGTTTTTGTAGCTGATGACTTTTTTTTTCGCTGGAACTTCACTTTAAGGCAGATGTTAAAATGTCATTCAAACCAGGAACAGTCGTGTTCAAAATAATAGCAGTCAGACATCACTAACCTGATCAATCACTGTTTTTGGTAGAAATGATATTTCTACATGGCAAATCATTTACTAGCAGGTGTAGTAGAGTAATAGAAATCCAACAGACCCGACAGTCATGACATGCATGCTGCTGATTCTGTGTAACTGAATCACTAATTGAAAGGGGCATGTTCAAAATAATAGCTGTGTGTGAGTTCTATTAGTGAGGTCATTCATTCTTTGAAAAACAGGTGGCAATTATTGCTCTTATTTAAGGAAGGAAGGCAGCAAATGTTGGATATGCTGGTTACAGTGCATTTCTCTCTGAAAGTCTGAGGAAAATGGGTCGTTCCAGACAATGTTCAGAAGAACAGCGTACCTTGATTAAAAAGTTGATTGGAGAGGGGAAAACATATAAAGAAGTGCAGAAAATGATAGGCTGCTCAGCTAAAATGATTGCAAATGCTTTAAAATGGCAACCAAAACCTGCAAGACGTGGAAGAAAGCGAAAAACTACCATTCGAATGGATAGAAGAATAGCCAAAATGGCAAGGACTCAGCCAACAATCAGCTCCGGGAAGATCAAAGAAGGTCTAAAGTTACCTGTGAGTACTGTTACAATTAGAAGACGCCTATGTGAAGCCAAGCTATCTGCAAGAAGCCCCCGCAAACTCCCACTGTTGAAAAAAAGACATGTGCTGAAGAGGTTACAATTTGCCAAAGAACACATTGACTGGCCTAAAGAGAAATGGCGCAACATTTTGAGGACTGATGAAAGTAAGATTGTTCTTTTTGGGTCTAGTGGCCGGAGACAGTTTGTCAGACGACCCCCAAACACTGAATTCAAGCCACAGTACACTGTGAAGTTATGGAGTGGCCAGCCCAATCCCCGGATCTTAATCCAATAGAAAACTTGTGGGGTGACATCAAAAATGCCCTTTCTGAGGCAAACCCAAGAAATAGAGAAGGACTGTGGAATGTAGTCCAATCATCCTGGGCTGGAATACCTGTTCACAGGTGCCAGAAGTTGGTTGACTCCATGCAACACAGATGTACAACAGTTCTCAGAAACAGTGCTTATACAACGAAATATTAATTAAGTGATTCAAAGGAAAGCAAAATCTTCAAACATTTTTCAGTTTATATAGTGTATGAGTTTGTAAAGAAGAATTTTTCAGTTTGTAAAGAAGAATACAAACACTGCTATTTTTTTGAACAGTCTAATATTCACTTTTCTTCAATTTTTGTAGAGGAACACAAATTTGATATATTTTTCTTCATGTTTTGATTTGGAATAGAATGTGTAGTGTTCCCAATGCATTTGTGTGTATGGAAATAAAAAGCTATTAGAAGGATTTTGAGCTTTATTCACTTTTTTCAACACACTGCTATTATTTTGAACACAACTGTATGTAGCACTACCCCCTTAGGATTTGCTGAGTTATTTTTGGGCTCCCTGTCACTCTTGACCCCACTCTGAAAGCCCAACCCCTCCTGGGTTATTTTGAACACAACTCTATGTATTCATTAAGGGGATTAAGTTATTTAAGATGGTTAGAACTAAAAAATAAAACACTAAAAATCTTTTTTGTAGACTTCCATCCAACCAGCAGGTGGAACTTGAGGTTCCTTTTAATATGTTTTTGCTATCCCATTTGCTCCATTGTTGCAAAAAATCTTGTTATAGAGCTCAGCTCAGGTCTAATTTACACAGACAAGTGAATGACTCATCCCCTAAATGACAGCTCTAACATTGTTGTCAGACAACGAGGCCTCAAGGCAGGCAGATTCTGTTATGCTTTCTTTTCAATTTAAACATACTGTATCTGTGAGAAACAAAAATGTAAAAATAAAATTTAGCTGAACTAATACCATTTCCCTTAACAATTAAAATGTATTTTAAAGTGTTACTAAACCTACAACAGTAAAATCAGTCTGTATATGCAGTAAAGCATGCTTGTTATACTCACTGTGGAACTTAAAGGGTTAATCCTCTGCATTGCATAAAATGGATGTTTGATTCTGTCTTCTCTGATCCTCTCCTTCTTCCACAGTCCCCATGATAGAAGAGAGCCTCAGGGACACTGCACATGCTCAGTTTGGTGTGTACTGCTAGAGAGTTTTTTCTTTTTCTTGAGAGTGTGCATGTGATCAGCCCAGAGCCAATCAGCGCTGTCCAGAGAGAGGGTCAGGGGTTATGCAGCCTCATAGGAAAATCAGAGAATGAAAACTCCTCATACAAACTTTAACCAGTGCTCAGCTGAACACTGATAGAAGTCTCAAGACTGATAATACTGCTGATGAGAAAAGGTATTTAGCAGTTTATATTTACTAAAATAATTACATTTCAATGTTCTCTGTACTGTGGGAGACCAGATATAGTGAATGCAGGGTCCTGGATTTAGAAAGACTTTAAATAATTTCTCAGCCTGTTTTTTATGTCAGCTATCCACAGGAGAGCATTATTATAAACCAATCAGATATTTCTGCATTGCACAAATAGCTGGTTGATAGGAGGGGAGAGCATACAGGTGCACCTCTATTATCCAATCACAGCCTGGGGTGGTCTTGTGCCAAGCTGTTTTGCTTTTTGATAGAGGTGCTTGGATTTAAAAAATGGTTTAATATAATTCTCAATTTAAATTTTTCTGTCCAGTAAGACCACACACACACACATTTTAACTGTGGATTGAACAGTCTGACTACAGTTTGCTTTGAACGTCATTGCCAATATATAATCTTAATTTCCAAAGAATGTACTAACTGCTATATGATTACATTGCTCTTTGCCCTTGGAGAATGATCACAGTGATCTGAACAGGTGATAAGAATAAAAATCTTTATTACAATATATACATACAGCACTTTTATAACTTATTTTATGTACATAAGTGCACAAAGCAAAATAAAATAAATATAGTGCTTATCTGTGCCCAAAATATATGCCAGCAATAAATAATCAGGCAGACAGTATACATGGCTTTAAGATATTTGAAGTATCAAGTGTACAGCACTCTGGTCATGTGACCTATTCCACTGGCATAGATCACGTGGTCTGCTTATATGCCACTGAAGTCAGCATAGTTTTCAGGGAGAACTACCCTGTCTTGAATTTCCCAAGCCTACCTTCACAACAGCAATTGATACAGAAGAGCATCCGCAATTAAGATTTTCTGAATATGTCCAACTGGTGCTGCTCTTACTGTTCTAGGAGGGTTTTATCCACTAGTCAAAGCTATTGAATTGAATATTCAGCTTAGTACACCCTTTAACACCCTGTCGTCCATCTAAAACTAGCCTAATAATGGGACCATACGATTTTGCCTTAAATCTGTTCTATCAATGCTCAAAGCTGGCTGCCCAAAACTATGCCATACAGTAAATCACACAAATGAAGCTGGAAACAGTAATGTTTTAGATTGCAAAATCACATTCCTGTATTACATTTTGTCTGCCTGATGTTTAAAATGTGGATTTTTGGGTATAGGCCTACATAAACTTGTAGAGAATACTATTTAAATAACTATACAGCTATTTTTTTAAAATAAACGTAAGACATGCATACTTCATATTTAAAATATCCCTCCTAATACTGGGAGAAAAATGTTTAAGAAATATTTGTTATGCATTGATGTTTGTCCCAAAGTGGGAAAAGAAGTCATGAAATTTGTTCTTCATATTAAGTTGATACAAATGTGGTTTGAAGGGTCCAGTCTTTGAAAAGCTGCTGTATGCCTTTACGTTCTTCTGAATTTATTAATAACAAGGAGCAAAACTCTTTTGTAAGCATCACGGAATTGGCGATTCATGGCTGCATAGAGTATGGGGTTGATGCAGCTATTCAACCATGTCAGGTTTGCAGCAATCATGTGTAGCACTTGTGGTGCTTTGTTTTTAGCATCAAAAATGTTAAGCATCATGAATGGAATATAGCTGATAACAAAAAATAGGAAGACAACAAAACACATACGGGTGACCTTTTTGAAATCTGACCCAGTGTCTTTTGGCGGTGGTACAGGTACTGATTTGACATAATCAGTAGAACTTGAGGTGACAGTAGCTTTTGAGGATGGAAGATGTTCCGAGATGATCTCACTAGAAGCTGCAGTGTCCACTCCACTGTCTTCTAGCTCATGAAGCTTGTCGATCATACCTGAGTTCGCTCCAGAAACATTTGATTTTATCTTTTTGGCATTGCCGAGTTTGTACTGGTCAAGAGCCTTGGCAGCAGATTTTACTTTACGATGAATCAGATAGTAAAATACTCCAACACATCCTAGGCCCACCACAAAGTAAAATCCCATCAATATGGTGGTGTAAGGCCTGCCTTTTATACGATGAAAGCTGCAGGTGCAGACCTTGGGGACTAAGACAAAGACTGGCCAAAGGGGGGCAAAACTTGCAAACCCGATCACCCATGTGCACAGCAGTATAAGAGTTGTGCCCAGTCTGCAGAATATTCGATCAAAGAGTTTGTTGTTGGTAATCAGGATGTAACGACTGACAGCAATAAGACACAAGTTCAGAATGGATACTGAATTGGATACAAACAACAACATTCCAAAGACCCTGCAGAAGTTGGCTCCACTTCTCCAGTAAAGGTGGAGGTATGAATCGACTGAAAAAGGCTGCAGAAAGGAGCAGTACAAGATGTCAGCCAAAGTCAGATTGATGATGAGTAGGTTGAAACGAGTTTGTAGCTTTTTGTCTAGTGCAAATGCAATTACTGTCAGCACATTGCCAACTGTCCCCACCAAAGACACAATAATACCCCATGTCACAGCAAAGTAACGATACTCCACAATGGATGGATGGTAGCAGGAAAAATTTGAATCAGAGTCATTCATGGTGACAATTTTCTTTCAATCACAGGTTTTCCTGAATAATAAAAAGAAAAAGAGACAATTTAATAGGATAATAACCCTAATATTCAGAACACTTTCACAATTATTTGGCAAAAACGAACTTGCTTAAATAATAAGTCACTACTATTGTTTTAGGTTGTTTCACATGTTACTATCCTGCTATTCAAGTTTCCTGTGGTCTTACCAAGTGACTATTCAATTTAGTAGTTTAGGATTACAATTCTCATTACCTATTTTAATTAATAACTAGGGATTCTGCTAGAAGCCTGCCCAAATGATTAACACTATGCAAGCTTAGAGTATTTTGCTGGGGTTTCTCTACACAATAGTGAGACTCACTAACCATGACCACTCAGCTGTCAGCTGGTGCTTATCAAACACACCACCTCCTAAAAGGAGTGTTGATTTAGGGAAGCTAAAGTGATTGTAAAGCTTTTTTAAAATTAAAATCATAAACATAATATACTTTCCTGCTCTCTACAGAGATATTGCATAGCGTTGCCCCAAACCTCTGCTTCTTGGGTCACCCAACCAGCACTCTGGGCTCCTCCACTTCTTGGTGTGCCACCATAGGATGCTGCTTCCCATGGAGGCACACTTGCAGACTCGCACCTGAGCCTGGCTGTGTGCATCTATTGACACAGCATGGCTCAGCACTACCACCTGCTCTCTGCTCACAAGATTTGATTGACAGCAGCAGAAGCCAATGGCTCCCACTGCTTCCCCTTTGAGCAGCAAGAGAGGAGAGAGCTGCTGTAGACAGGCCCAGAGCTGAATTGAGATCGGGCTCAGGTATACAGGGGGGTGCAGGAGCAATACAAACATAGGGACATTTTTTTATCTTAATCCAGGGAATGTATTAGGGTAAAAAATGTCCAGCCTTTTAGAACCACTTAAACAGTTATTGCTGATTTCCATTATAAGCGAGTCTTTTGACTCTGGTTCACAAAAAAATATGAATCACCTCTGCTAGAATGAAGTCTAATATTAATATTGTGTTGACTAGGGATGGGGTCCAGTTTCACTGTTATCAAAGGTTTGCAGCAAATCCCCTGTCGCAAACTTTCAGATTAAAACTTTGGGATAAATAAGGTACAACCTTTAATGCAGTGCATAGTGTTTTCAGCTGAGTCACAAAAGCCTCTTCACTTTAAAAGAGTGGACTCTTGACAGCCGTATTTTGAAGCTGACAATTCTGTATAGGGAGAAATGCTGTGCTTTACTGGGCATTTTTTATTTTAAAGGAAACGTTCACCTTTCTGAACATGTTAAAGTTACACCCATATTTAGAGTGTAACATGTTCAGCATCAGACTCCTCTCCCCTGATTCCCCCCCCCCCCTTCCTTGTGGCAGCAAGCCAAGAATCTTCTCCCCGTACTGGCTGCTACAATTCAAATAGAGCGCAGCTGTGCGGGGCTCTTCCTACGCGGCCACGTCATTGATTCACAATGACGCGGCTGTCAGCTTGTAGTTCTCAATGAACTACTACAGCATTGATTCTTCCTGTCAGTACAAAACTGCCTTCTCGTATGAGATTCGAGCAGACAGCTTAACCTGACAGGTCTGCAGGAGACCTGCATGGCACCAGCAATCTACTGATCGCTAACCTGACAGGTCTGCAGGACACCTGCATGGCACCAGCAATCTACTGATCGCTAGTGCAATGTTTTCCAGGATCCAAAACCAAAAAATAGTAAATGCACATTTTTTTTTACATGCAAAAAAAATGTGCATTTATTATTTTTGTTAAAAGGTGAACTTATCCTTCAACATTGGCACAAGTCCTCCATAGCAATACCCCAGCTTTCCATGCCAAGCTTAACTAGAGCTTGATTTCTAGCCATACAAATGGCCAGGCTTTAATAACAAGAGTCACAAAACTGTTCATGAACTGAACCCAGGCACATTTGTTCATTCCCACTTTCTAACTTTCATACATAAAAACCATCGCACACTGAGAAAGAAAAACATAAAAAAAGAGATGCTGTTTTTTTTTATGTTCCTAACAAACTGATACAACTGATGTGGTGTTCCCATGAACCTTAAAAGCTGGTCATTTTTTTCCGTGCTATATAAATGAATAACAAACCTTTCTTATATCTCTCCTAAATGCAGCTAGCAGCTGTAAAACTAGTAGATGTTCTAGATAGTGGTATAACTAGCCTTAACCAGTTAAGCACTTTTCTTGTTCTGATGATGTAACGCAATATAGAAAGCATTAGTCATTAAAATGTTTGTAACAATCATTCGTCATAGGAGACTGTCTAAAATTATCTAAAACTAAGGTAACACCTCTTGGATTCCATAAGGACTGAAGCTGTATTCAATAATATTTCATACATTTAGATGACTCAGACTTGTCCATAGACTCCTTTCTGGACACGGCCATTACATAGTGAACACACATCCTGTTCACCAAACACTATTAGCTGCCAGGTCCCAACAACCCACTGTGTTCCCTCATACTGCCTGTTCACAGAGTAGTGCTTTAACAATCTGCAGATTTTATTGAAGGACATCCTGAGTGTTATAGCAGGTAATAACATGTTAATGTATCCTTATATCACATTAATACTTTGCAGCCACTAATAGTGCTCAACTGTTTATTCTGAAATTGTCATTTTCCAATGCAGCTTTGACCGTAGGTAGTGAAGGAGTTCTTAATATATCAGCACTTACAGACAAATATTGTATACTGCTGAGGACTTTAGATAATATGAAAGGCAGTGCATATGTCATAGCAAACATATTGACTAGTCTGTCATTTCCCCTAAAATTCCTACAAATGAAAGCCCATATCTATTAAGTTGTTATACCACAAATTACTAAAGTGATAACTATTAACACAGCAGGCTCTCCAATGTTTTGGTCCAGCAGCATTAAGCACTGGACCTCCGGAAGGTTTTACCCCCTTCATGACAATGGTATTTTTTGCTCTGCGCTACTTTATCATTGACTCATAGTGAGACTTTGATAGTGTGGCGGGCAATCTGGCACTAACAGACCATAGGAGGTACACTTACTAACTAACTGACACTGACATCAATAATGACACTAATACAGTAATCAGATATAATACTGTACACACTGTCGCTGTACTAATGATACTGGCTGAGAAGGGTTAACATCAAGGGCCAATAAAGGAGTTAACCATGTGCCTAACAAGTGTAATGTGTGCAATTTCTGCTGATTTTACTAAGAGATGTAGGGATGTGGTTGTTTTTTCTCCCTGCTTTTCAGGGAGAAGAAACAGCCAGATCACTGCTCTGTGTACAGAGTCCTGTGTGATTGTTATGGAGTTACTATATCTTGTACCACTGAAGAATCATGGAAGTACCTTATCACTCTTTTATCTGCAACTAATTACTATCTACAGTGGCTGTATGCTCTGTAGATTTCCTCCTCAGAATGTACACTGCAATAATTCAAAAAATACAGCTAGAGTAGTTAGTGTGCGGTTTGCTTGCATCATTGTGGCCACATCTAGATAAACCCAAGAAGTGATTGCTGCACACTTAGTTCCCTCCCTTGTGTGGAAGTAAAAAATACTCCACATTCTATAGAAGACTTAAATGCCATTTATTTGGGGCACACCTACACAGAATGTGATTAAAACCATAAAATACTAATTCTATGCAAATGCGTTAGACAATTTGCACTGAATTAAAGAATTCACTGATTAGCAAGTTTTTAGGAAAATAAAATGGTTGTAAGTTGTTTATTAGATATTGTTTCATATTTTCACACACATTTAGTACATATTATCAGCTTTGTTACCACCTCCTGAATTTACTAGTGAACAACTTTATCACCTTTATTCACATCTGGTGTTTTGTGATCTCAGGCAGAATTGCTGCGATTCTACCTGCAACCCAAAATCACACTGCAATCATGGCAAAACACACACCACGCATGTTCAGGTGCCATTCGTTTTCAATGGCACCTAAACACAGTGTGGTTCTGCTGCGATTGTCACGTGATAAATCATGCTGCAATCGCAGCAAACCATATCGCGGGAAGCTTGTCGTCCAAAAAGGAGCAAGAGCTTCTTTTGGTTGACAAGCTTTGTGCGATGCAACTTGACAAGATTGCAATGTAATTTATCAGTGGTTATTGGTGGCTAGTTTGCTGTATACAACTGTCAGGCTATATAAAAATTTGTATTCACAGGAATTTTCCTGTAATTAAAACATACATCAAACATAGCTCAGCAAGTCTCAATGATACAATGCAGATGGTAGTCCTGAGGATACGTCTGACCTGCTTTACTTTTTGAGAATGACAGAAAAAAAAAGGAAATGAAGGACTGTATAATAATAAAACTGTAGAATAAAAAACTAATATTTCATAGCCCTAAATTTATGTCAAAGTAGGTAATTATCCATGATGTGACTTGGAAACTCCAAAACTGGAAATGATCAACAAACGCTACTAACTAGTTAAAACACTTAATAAAATGCACAATAACCAATCATAACATAACAAAAGATAATAACTACTGTACATAACACTCTAAAAAGAATACTACAATGCACTATAAATATCAACCCTGATAGCAGTAAGTACTTTTCAGAAGTACTGAGAAACTTTAACAAAATAAAAAATCCCATAAAACCTTTCAGAATAATCTAGAAGATCCAGTAGGATGAATAGAAACGTCTAAACGGCCTTTATATAAATAGGTTAGAATAGGTGTAGGCAGCATTAATATGCAGACTACTCACCAGTGGCAGATTCAGGCTCTGATGATCTGAGACTAGGATTTTATAGAATGCGAGCCTTTATATATGCTCTGCCTTTCCTCAAAAGCCCCACCTTGCTCAATAATTTCCCATAACTTCCTTATGTCAGTTCTCGTTTTAACTTGTACTTTTTCTGTACTGACTACAGGATGAGTCTGCTACTCATCCTTACTCTTTTGACCTGCTCTGTGTGATTGTTTTCATCACACAAAGGTAGAAATCGGTTTTATTTTCTAGGC